AGCAGGAATAAAGCAGGTGAGCCTGACTTCCAGATGCTGTCTAAGCCAGTGTAGGTCTGCTCCGATGAGTGGATGATACTCAATCCTGTGTGCAGTGCAAAGAAGGAAGGGAGTGAATAGGAACTTGACCTGGACAAATGCTACCACAACATCTGCGTTGTATATCAAAGGGAAGAGGCAAGGGGATGGGTAAGCAGGGAATCCAGCGAGGTGGATTTGGTGAGGGCAGGATAGGAAGGAAGATACAGTCTGAGGTATAACTGACTGCACATACGAGTGGAGAGAGGAGGTGAGGATCAGCTGAGAGCGTAAGTTTTCCTTTTTTAAAGGCTTGAAATCATGCAACTTATTCCCACATATTTTTATAAAAGCAAGCACAGAAAGCTTTCACTGTAACTGCCTTAACTGAAAAGTCTGTAGGTTGATTCTTGTTTGCAAGACAGAAAGTTTTAAAGCATACAAATGCAAGCCTGTGCAAAATCTGACACGTACAATACTTAAACATTATGTTTAATCTTTGTGATTTCAGTTTTCTTTGTTAACAGGAGCATTGCTCTGTCAACACATACACAGCTGGTAGGAAATTTGTAATCGTATGTATGAGTCTTTTAAAACAAAGTAATAAGTACAGAAGTTCACACAGGACCAAACGTTGCAGTCCTTATTAGGCATAGTTCTCATACAGGACAGTGACAGATCTGTATTTGAATAAACTCAGACTGAGCAAAATGATCTTTTTTTTTTTTTCTTTCCTCCAAACAGTTCTAGTGCTTAGGAGCACTTGTCAGGGACCACTCTTGTGGACACTGTACAAACACTGAATGGCAAACTCTACACTAAAGACCTTGAAATCGAAGCATGATAAAGAAATCATTAAATGGCTGCAAACAGATAGGAGAGCAGAAACAAATGTTTTTCTAAGTGTCTTTAGTAAAGCTGTTAGTATGTTGAATCTAGCATATGTAACACAAGCAGATTTTTTTTTTTAATTACTGTGTTTTTTACAGAACAAAATTCCATCCCTAATACACAGGTAAAACTGTATTTACAGAGGTTGCAATCCTTCCAGTAACACAACATTTCAGCAATTTATTGACTGATTTTCATAGTTTAATTCAAACCCCATTTTTTACGAGCATTTCTAAGGAAATGGAATATAAGCCTTATCCTTTGTTGGAACCTGCTGATGGGTTTGCTAAATAGCAAAAGGCAACTGCAGTACAACCTGTACTTAAGTGCATGATAATATATTTCATAAGAAAAAGGGATTATTCTTACATATAAGAAAAGGCATTGCATAAGGCAATGTGAGTCAAGTGAGTTTGCATCTGATTGCTATTCAAAATGAACATGTACCGAGTAAACAATATGGTCGTAATATGCTCTCAGTTTTTCTGACTAAAGATAACATTCAAGCCATGAGTAGCTTATCTGTAGCAAATAGTACATGGTATACTTGGAAAATTCTAGAAATCCTTAGAAATCGTACACCTCTAATTTGCTATTGCATTTTCTTGAATGACCCACTGTTCCTAGAGAAATACATTCTTAAAGACAAAACTGTGTATCCTTAAGTCAAATAATTCAACAGCAAGATTTTAGATTACCTTTGATTTTGGCATTATATCTACAAGCCTTGGAATACTACTCCGTGATTATATCAGAGTTCCTCTCCAGTTGTTCCACTTGAAATTATATCTCCCATTTTCTCCAAATAACTACTATAAATTAAAACCAGCTCTTCAGAGATGATATTTACTGAAGCTCCAAATCATGGTAATTAAACTTTTACACCACAACACACTACCATGTGTTCCCAGATATTATTTTATAGAAACCAAAGGCAGGCTTTGTCATGTTATTTTTCCAATATTTTTAAAGGAAGATGCATATGAAAAGAAGTATAGTTGGGTGGGAAAGGCTTTCCACTCCACAAAAATTCTGGGATCTAAAAAATTTTCCTATTCCACATAAGGAAGAAATTGAACTCTTTCGAAATTTTCCATGAAGAAAGCCACAGAGAGACCACCCCAGGATAGCTAATAAAGTCGTTGTTAGGACATTTACTTGGGAAATGGGAGACTTAGGGTCAAACTCTTGCCTGACAGATGAGGGGCATTGACCTGAATATTCCTCTTCCTAATGAAACACCCTAATTACAAGACATTGGAGTATAGTGATACGAGGTTTGCTGTATCTTTCTCTCTTCTTCATTTAGACCAGAAATTTGAGTTTGGACCAGAAACATCATGTGAACTAAAATTTTGTCAAAACTGATAATGTTTCTGAAAAAGCTTTGCTTTTAAGAAATTGGCATTTTCCAATGAAACACATCTGTCCCTGATCAGCTCTTATTGTACATTGTAAGCCAGAGGTTTTATGGCCAAGATTATAGATTACTGCATTATTCACAAGTGGTAAAGCCATGCATAAATTAGGCCTCTAATTCCAATTAAGTGCTAATTCTGTGTATCCTATGAGTTATGTCTTGCACCATAGTACGTCCTAACACAGTATGCCAGTAATGCAAAGAGGAATGAAGGTAACTTAAGACATATTATCTTAACAATGTTTTAGTAAAATAGTACAACTAGCCAAATTCTATCATCTTAGATTTAATAATAATGATTAAAAACTGCATAGAAATTACTAGAAATAGGTTTGTGGACAGAAATAGATACTTTTGCTGTCATTAAACACAGTGTAGTATCAATAGCAGCAGGGTTTTTCCTCAAAGGCTCTCATTTCACCAACTTCTTGTTTCCCGGGGTCTTCGAACTCCTCCTCATTTTAACCTAAAACCTAGAGAACACCTTTCATCCAAGGTAGCTTAAAGCCAGCTCCAATTCAGCATGAGACATATCGCCCTTTTCAGGGGACGGGGGCTGAGGAAGCAGACCTCGCGATGGGACACTGTGTTCACCCACTCTAATGATGCCGGGAGTCAACGAGAGGCCAACTGCATGTCAACATGGTGCAGTTTTCAGCAGTGCTGCTCACTTTCTGAGACAACTAATTATTCACCTCTCCAACTGATGTCCTTTGCTGCCAGCATTCCACAAAGTCTTTACTGCACATCTTTTACCGAACTCTTTACTGAATTTTTTAATACAAGAAGCCACTTAAAAAAAAAGTGAAATGAAAGCTGCTCAAGCTATTTTACAGCAGATACTACAATTGATTAATAGGGTTAAAATCAGGGAAAAATATATCACAGCCTCAACTCTGAACTTTGTCTCTTAATTTTTTAATGAATGAACTGGAGTGTCATTTTGAATGAATTGGTATGTTTATTTAAGCACGGTGAAAATAAGGTTTAACACAAATACGGATTAATAAACTATAAAAGGTAATACTCAGCTTGTATTTATTCCGAGCAGGCCTTTTTTGCAAGTAGCACTTTTTTTAAAATTAATTCTTTTTCCGCTCAGTATATAATCTATTTAAAGATTAGTTTGATGGCACAAAACTGCAGACATGACGACACACTAAATATTTGTATGCTCTTTTGTATTTTTAAGGTTTTCTCCAAACTACAGCTGATGAGTTTTGCTTTTACTATGCAAGAAAAGATGGTGGTGTATGCTTTCCAGATTTTCCAAGAAAACAAGTGCGAGGGCCAGCTTCTAACTCCCTGGACCACATGGAAGAATATGACAAAGAGGAAGAGATCAGCAGGTTCATAAAGATAAATGCTGTTTAATCTGAAAAAAAAAACCCTAGCGAATCTGTGGTTTTCACAGTGAAACAGCTCAGTGTGTGCTTATGCTCAGCAGCTGTGTTTTCCAGATGTTACTTTCTTTTGCTGCTGCTAGTGTACGTCAACAGAGAAAGTTATATTAGCGTCAGTATTTCAGTACCATTTGATATGTGCGTTGCTGAAAAGGTGTTAGAATCCTGGTTTGATCCACCCTGTGGATCTTGGTTATGGTCTACGCTGTGGATCATAGATAGTTCTAGGAAGTCATTCCTACCTGAATTTAATATTACTAAACAACGACAATAAGTTTATTAGGAAAATATTTATTTCATTATTTAAAATTTATTTCATTCATGTAATTGTGAAAATAATTAAATTAGATTGTCCCGTCATAAGAAATTATATTTTAATGGGTTTTAGAAGCCAAATTTTGTCAAAATTCTGGAATTCACTGTGGTTATTGTACAGTAGAAATTTTATCTTTATAAATTGTTCTCTTTTTTTACCATTTTTTTAAACTTGTATTCCTCTACATTTCAGATCTAAGATGAATTAATTTTCTCTTTCTTGTATAAAAAACAAATTTTGCCCAAGTGAAGTTCAAGGATATAATTTATTCTGGGTTGTATAACTGTGTTTTTAATATCACTGCAGAACAATAATTTTATCTTTTAGGGACATTGTTGTGTCACGGTTATAAGAAAGAAGTTTCTCACTATTTTCTTTAATTTTTTTAGAAAACACAAGCACAACTGCTTCTGTATTCAGGAGGTTGTGAGTGGACTAAGACAGCCTGTTGGAGCGGTACATTGTGGGGACGGATCCCATCGCCTCTTTATTCTTGAGAAAGAAGGATACGTGAAGATTTTCAGTCCTGAAGGAGACATACTCAAGGAACCTTTTTTGGACATACACAAGCTTGTTCAAAGTGGAATAAAGGTTGGATTTTTTACTTATCTCTACCTGTTTATATTTTAGCCTGTATATGGGGAAAAAGGGAAGACACATTTTTCAGAAAATATTTTAATTTAAATAACAAAAAAGAAGAGTAATGACAACAGACACTGCAGTTCTGTCTGGCAAAGAAGTGAAAACTTCCGTGTTTTGGGAAGGGAAAACATAGTATGTTGTAACTGTCATCACTCCCTTCATTTTTTCCTCACTTTAAATTCAGAAGAAACTATCCAACACCAGCACCTCACAGCATTATCTTTGCATTGTCATCCTTTGGGTTTATTTCCATCCCACTGAATTCAGCTGAGTTTTGCTGTGATTCCAGTGGGAGCGAGTTTGGCTCAGGGCCTCCCCTGACCTGCGGGTGCTCAGCGACACGCCGGGAGCCGGACACGGGAGGGGGCCTGGGAGTGCTCCGGGACCCCCAGGAGAGGGGCAGTGGTGCTCACTCCCTCTAGGCTCAACCTCAAACGGCTGCCCTTGGGGGGAGGCTGCTTTAAAACGGCGTATATTTGAGATGCACGTAAAAAGGGACGGACCCTCCAAATTCAGACGTGCAGGCGGGTTGGTGCAAAAGCTTTCATTGCGTTTCATGGGAAGACTTTCATGGTCAGGGGAGTGGGTGGTGAATGGGCACTGATGGGAATACATTGGAGGGTGGAAGTAAGAAATTACATCTAGGGATGGGGTAAGTACTAATGGAAAGCTCACAAGTCTGTTGGGGAATATTTTACTTTGGAAATGTCATAAGTGTTGTTCCATATTGATTTCTTGTCACATTTTAGAGTGGTAATGCAAGTGAAATCCAGATATATAAAGCAAATTTAAATTGTAATCAGGTTTTGCCTAGAACAGTCAGGACTATATATCATAAAGCCTTCATGGATGAAAGATATATTGACATACTCTTGACAGAGCAATCTTAAATAACAATTGTGACAAACTGTATCGATTTAAAATGCATAGCACATGCTAACTAAGCATTTTGTGTTTCAGCTATAAGGGCAATGAGCCAATGAAGATAGTCCTTTCTGAGAGGAAATCTCAGAAGTTTTTGGTTTGTGTTGAAAGAGAGAGAGAGAAATTAAATATACTACACCTTTTTCAGGAAAAGAACCAGTTTATATGATTCTGTGATTTGCCTTTCTGCCATTGTTATGTTCAAGATACCAAAACAGAAGGGACTTATTAGGGGTATTTCTGAACATCAATCTAAGGCTGCTTTGTATTTCTCAACTGAAAATTCTAATAGTTTGTACTTGTGAAAAACTGGAACTGAAACTTTCCACAGAACTGCTATTGGTCCCAATCAAAGCTTCCTTGAGGAGACTTTTACAGCTGGAACCTAGAGGCAAGGCTAAATGGAATACTGATTTTCCATGCTTCTGAATAGGCAATAGCCTGCTTGATAAGACTCTCGACAGCTACCCTCAGATTCAGATTCAACTTTTAGTTCTGTTTTAAATCAGTGACCTGATCTTTTTAGTCTTTACTTCCCTAACCATCATATAATACTCTAAACTGGATCCGTTTCAACTATAAGACTTTGTGTAAATAATTTGATGTTCTCTAAGCTAGAAAGTCTAATTCAATTCCTTGAGATAACAGTCCAGTGACTGAGGGTAACTGTATTGCAGTGTTTAATGCAGGCTGGCAAGAACGGAGGCTTTATGTACTTCACAGGTAAGGAGAATGTGCCTCGAAGCAATACTCCAGCTCTTACATAGAAAGGGGAAAGAATTTGAGGAATGAGCACATTATATAAGATAATAAATAGAATAAAAGAAAACCCACAAAATCCAAATGGTACTTTTAAAACAAGGGTTCTTAAACATTTTTATGTTTATCCCCTGCTGTCTGATTCCTATAATCATTGTCCATGGTCCTTTACCTACAAGGATGCAAGATCACTGTGACAACGGTAGCAATTATTCCATCAAAACAGACTACTTGAAGGGTATTTGATTTTACTTACCTGTTATACACTTTAAAATTAGAAATCAGTAATGGAGAATACCATATGGATAGACAATTTTCCAGCAGGCAGTGCAGATACTGTACAGCCAGCAATTAAAAAACCCCACACTATCTAAACCATTGCATCCGCATGCAAAGTGTGAGAGAATCGCTGAATGTGTCCTCTGTGCTTACTCAAGAAATGCTTGTAGCGTCAGGTGGATGAATTTGTGTGTATACATTTTGCTCGATATCCCTGATTCTTCTCACATAGTGGTGTAAGTGAAAAAGTAAAATGAAATCAATGAATTTTTAGTTGTCTCTGATCAAACTCAGGCCCATACATTCCAGTGAACTGTTTTGCCAAGGTAACGTTGCCTTTTTTGTGTCCTCTGTTCATTTACACAGATTCATAGATGTTAACCCAAATATCTAGACAATTCCTGTGTAGCATTATCCATACAATGTTATTCTTGAATTAACATAGAGACTCTTCATTGAAGTAAACAAAACTGTTCACCTCTTTTCCAACCTTGGAGCAACAGTAGCAAGAAAAGGCAAACAATTCTTTTTGTAAAATTTTTGTAACAATTTTCTCTCATACCCAAGTGTCTGAAAATAGTAGTTTCTGTTAATTTTTTGTCTGTATCTGAGATACAAACAAATACTTAACTCTAGTGGCAATAGTAAAAATATTTTTTCAAACTATTATAGATTTATGTTGTCTCCAGTAACTAATAATAATGATGATGATAATTATAATAATAATAATTATTATTACTATAGTAATGCAGCTGTGGTTGAATGAAAGGCAATATAAATCAATGCCTCTGAAAAGCATTTTGGACAGCTATCCCAGTAAGATATTTTTAATGTTGATAGATGGAGTAAAATTGTGATAGTTGATTTTCTCATCTTTTTCTAATGTAAAGAGGAAATTTAGGAGTGATAAAATCATTATGTTCTCACAAAGCAGCAAATCTGTTGCGTGATGATTTTCCAAAGAATATACTTGAAACTATCTTGAGGCTGATATAACCAAGAAACAGAAATGACATGTTTCCTTCATAAAAATAAGCCTGGACTTTAGTTCTGATCTCACTAACATCATTTTGCTCATCACAGCACTGGCAGTCAGATAAGGAGGAATACAATGTACAAAAACAGTGGGAGAGAGGTGACTGCATTGTATAGCAATCAGCCATGATACTCTCCTAAAAAGATGCTGTTTTGTTGGGACTAATGGTCCCTGTGTTGATGAAATTTATTTGGAGCTCCTAATGTCACTGTTAGGCTTCTTCACTGGTCCGGCTAATCTAAGCACATAAATAGGATTATCTGGAGTTGCTTCTTGTCCGTCATTCCTGTGAAGGTCTGTGGATATAAATGGAAATTAAGAAAGAAGAGTGGTACAACCTGATGCATATGTTTTATTGGTCCATTGGCTTTTAACGTTCATTGAAGTCATGTGCATGGAAATAGTTGCTGCAGTAAAATCTGACAGTTACATGATTTAATTTTAAGGCGTTCAAATGAAAGAGAAGTGATACTTTCATATGCTGCCCATGTCTCAGAAGGAAATAGCACAAGCATGTAGAAGTATTCCATAACAGAGAGAGATGTCATGAATGGATGATGGTAGCTTGTGCTTCCTGGAGGCCCTATTCAAGAGAATATTAGATGCAGTATTCCTAAGATTGAAAAAAAAACCTCTGAAGAGCTTAAGAAACAATTTTTCTCTGCACACGTCCCAGTTTCTAATCTTCTGGAATGCTTTTTTGATCTCTATTTTTTTACTTAGTTGTTGGGAGTCATGAATGGATCTTAATGAAGAAGTTGCTAATTCAACATCTGTGGCTCTCTCCAATGTATTTTATGTCACACTGGCTACATAAGTATTGTTGTACGTGTGGATGGATTGGGCACTTGGCCAAGTCCCTCCTGTCACCCTTAGCCTTTTCTTCCCTATCTGAAGAATGTGGTGAAAAGAAGGAAGCTGTGCACTTAGTCTTGCCCCAAAGCTGAGTAAGGACATGAGTGAGACATGCACCTGGTCTCAACTATTTAGGAATATATAGCCCAGTGTAGTGGAGAAACTACTGATTCCATCACCTGTGCCCATTAATATTACAAAGTACCCTGAGTATTGGCATGTATGTAGAAGAAAAGAATAAGCATTTACCAGAAAAAAAACTCTAAAAGGTCTGCTTCCCTGTACTGGTGACTTACTGCTCCGTTGTGGTGAAGAGAGTTGTTAGTTACAGAGCAACAGAGTGTTCCTGTAGCAAAGGAACAATTTTTTAATGAAAATATTAGTATCCATTTTTTCTTTTGGATTAATTTTCACTACCACTATTTTCTTTTTGTTTTAAACTATTGCTAAGTTGAAGAGAGGTGGAAAGTTTGAATGAGAAGTTATTGAACTAATAATGGTAATACTTTGATTTCACTGATGTTTAAGGACACCTTAATCAATCATCAAGAAAAAATAGTCTTGACGTATCTGAATCTATTGTCAAAAAGTTAGGCAAAATAATTAAATGCTTTCAAAGTATCAGGCAAATATGATTTTATACCATAATACACTCAGCAGAAAAAAAAAAAAAGGATCAAAACATTCTAAATACTTGAATTCAATGATTTCTTGAGATGTAACAGTGATGAGTATGTTATTATTAAAAGATCAGTCACCTTGTACTCAAGACTGTATCTAACTTACAGAAAAATGCTGAATGCTCTATCAGTTCTCCAAATTTCCTTACTCTTGTGGCTGTATTTTATCTTATTAACTGTATTATTTCCTAGGATTTGCAAACCTTCAGATTAGTAGCAGCCACCATAAAATGTAGCACAACCTATTACATCAATTTTCACTCACTCTCTTGTTTCCTGAGCGCAAAAACATGTATTGGTCTAAAATATAATATACATTGTTATATAAAATATAAAATACATTGTTTGGTAGGGAAGGCATCGAGGTATGATTTGGCAACAACAAAAAAGGAAGAGCCTACCACTTCTCTCCAGAG